TAAAGTTTATAATGTCTATTATCATGGATGCAGTCATCTACCAAAATTCATTTGAAGTATTTTTCAATGCTTCTCACAGCAAATATTGATATATGCGATTAATTTAGATTAATTAATCACAAAGCATGTAATTAATTAATGTTTTTAATTGCTTGACAGCCCTACTTTGAATAGAAGGTTCATCTCTTCAGTCTGTCACAAGTTCGCTTGTCATTTGAGAGGGATATACATATTTGGGAAAATTATTTGTTCCTCTGGTAAATATATATATTTACCTCAGAAGCAGGGATGGGGAGAGGGGTCAGAATTGAGGGAAGGATGAATGCAGCCAAATACAGAGAGGTCATTTAAGAAACTGGGGTGAAGGCTCACCTTTCAGCACAACAACACTGGAGCGGTTTCAGGAGAAGAGTATCCAGCTGTCTTTGTTAAGACTGTTGCTGATGCTATGACCTGCGCAGCGAGACCCTGTAAAATCCTGCTGCTATGGGCTCCTTGGCTTTGCTTTTTAGTCATTACACTGAAAGTTTGCATACCAGTGTGTGTGAGTGAGTCGGTGCATACAGGGGCGGAGCTTGCCTTTCCTGCCGATGGGTGCGAATGATCAGAATCAGTGGAACAGCTGGTGTTCTTTTTTCGCACACAACTTTGTGTCCCTGATAGTCTATAGACTACCAAGGAAAACATGTTTGCACACTGAAGTACGCTATTTCTAGACAGCAGCTGTCCTAATTAAGTAGTAGTTTAGGCTAGACAATTTGGTGGGAAATGAAATCAGTGATCCACTAATTCAAAGTCAGTGAATTACATGAAATCAACATTTTTATTAGCTTATTATGTTCATCTGTTAGTGCGTGTGTGTTTTCTTTATTAATCATAATTAATCATAATAATAATAATCATATACTTTATTGATCCCTCATGGGGAAATTCATCCTCTGCATTTGACCCATCCTACACACACAGTGAGCTGTGAGCACACACACACACACCAAGAGCCAGGAGCAGTGGGCAGCCACAGTGCAGCGCCCAGGGACCACCTCCAGTTCTTTTTGCCAGTGCCTTGGTCAGGGGCACTGACAGGAGTATGTCTTGTCTTTTGATGGTGGTATGCATGTCTTTTGATGGTGGGAGGAAACCGGAGCGCCCGGAGGAAACCCACGCAAACACGGGGAGAACATGCAAACTCCACACAGAAAGGACCTGGGACAGCCAGGATTCGAACCCAGGACCTTCTTGCTGTGAGGCAACAGTGCTAACCACTGAGCCACCGTGTTGCCCCGTGTTTACTGCAAACATAACAAACACATATGCTAGAGCACACGCAGGCCATAGCCATAATGATCATGCGCCAAGCGCAAATAACTGAACTGTAAGGTAAAGAAAAAAAAAGACATAGACACAGATTTAATTTTCAACATATTAAGTGTAGCAACATCAACCTGTCAAATTCACCTTGCGACATTTCATTCCTGCAAACTTGTTGACCACCTTATCCAAATCGATGTTTGCGGCTAACTCTCTTTCGATAAAAAGTAACGCAAGTTGTGAGAGGCGCTCCTCGCCCATGGTGGCACGCAAGTAAGTTTTTAACAGTGCGCTACTCACAGGAATTGTGAAATATATTTTGTAACGGGTAGCCAGATTTGGGAACGCTCGATCCATGTCATTGGCTATAAGAAACCTAAATCCTGGCCAGTGGAGAGCTCATCCATCTCCAGACTTCTGCACATTTCGCAAAAGGAGCAGTATTCATCAGGAACATCAGAAGCAGAAACATCACTACTGTAATATATTGCCAACTCGTGTATACTTTGGACTGACTCGGAATTAAATAAGTGTTTCGGGTTAAGCGCCTGATATTTCTTGGCCATAGATCTCGTGTCTGAAAATCGCTCTAGAACGTTGCAGAACCCGAGCATTAATTATTTGTTTACAGGCACAGAGCATAGTGCGGTGTATTTCTCCCTCTGCAGGCAGCCATGAGTGTGTGTGTTTTAGAGGGGACTATAGATTAAAATCTTTGATTAAAATCCACCAGAAACTGTGGTTAACGCGTTTGTTGAACACATCTTTAAAAGTGATCATAGTGTAAGCTACCAATGTTGCTGACTCCAGAATTTATTTTTGCTAGCCGTGGGGCTCGGCCATGGGTACGCGGCACCCATTGAAGCTCTGCTAGTGGGTGCATATCTCACTGCAAGTCATGCTCCCTCTGGGATGAGACAGAAGGCTTGTGAGTAGTCCTGGGGAGCAGATGGAAAAGAGCTGCAGTCAGAAAGGATACAGTACTGTTCACCCCCCCAACCCCCATCATATGTCTTCCTCTAGAAGCTGGAGCAACAGGTCCTCTCCCTCCCCTGTCCCTCTTTCACTTTCCCTCTGATCCCGTGTTCCTTTGCGCCCCCGCCTTTCTCTCTCTGTCTCCTTCTCTAACTCTACTGCTTCAGGGGACAGCACAAACACGATCAGGATTCTCATCTCTTCACTATGACTCACTTAACACTTTTCCACTGGTGAGCTGTCACTTTGTGGTAGGTTCTAAACCTGACCTGCTTCCTTTTCTGTACTGGCTATTCTGTTTGCCTCACTGGTTGCTGCTTTCCACCTAATCCATCTTTTACTTTTTAAGTGCTAAAACTGAAAGAATTGTCATTACCTGGGGAATGTTCTGCTCCTGGGGGATCTCCGCTTTGGTTTCCAGCTTCTGTAGGTTCCAGCTGGAGTCCATGTTGAACTGACAGAGCTGTATGACCGGCTTTCTGTGCAGAAACGGAAACCTGATTTTGCCACTAATACCGAACAGCAATCATTTTAGTCTCCAACTAAAACAGATGCTCTCATACTCTCCTGTGGGTCTCCCTCCAAGCAGAGGCTGCACCTTTTAGATGTGCTGAAAGTGCGGGGGTGAGGTGGTGCTTACCGAGGCAGGGACAGGAGCTTCACTTTGACAGAGGCCTGCTGCCCAGGACACTTTTGGCACCTGCACACAACCTGCGCTGCCTTTAGGGCACAAATCGCAATACAGCATCAGCACTTTGCTCAGAAAGAATGCCAAATGAACTAGTGTGTGTGTGTGTGTGAGGGACGGAGGGAGGCACTGACCCTAAAATACTGCTTCAGGCTGTCCTGGAGGTTGCTCTGAGGGACTAAATCCACAGACAGGTGACTATAGACCTCTACCCTGCAGACTTGTGCACCAAACTTTCCACAGAGAAGGAGAGACACCGAGAGAAAGAAGCATTACCACTTAAAGAGCAAATACTGATACTGTTATCTCATACAATGACATCTCACCTTGTCTTACTTCTCTAGTGCTACACAGGGTTGAAGGTTCATCCCCATATCAATTATGCCATACAAGAAGGACGTGGCCATTCAACTGAACCGGCCCACAGCTAAGAGATAACTAATACTAATAATAATATAAGACCGTTTACCTGCAGCAGATTTGTGCAAGTAGAAACTGAATTTTTTTTTCACTTGTCAGGTGCAGGGACCCGGGACACTTCTCTTGAGATGGGAGAAGCAGCACACTTTAAATTTCGTGTGTCTCCTGCAGGCTGACAAAAAGAGACACCATGAGGGATAAAGCACACCTCAGCCTGGCAAAAGTGAACACAGGGTGTGTGTGAGCATGCCAAAAAGAGCCTTGTCTCCCACCTGCTGCTCATCCTGGCAGAGGTCCCTGAATTTCTCAGACACAGTCTTCTTGAATTCCCTCAGAAGCCAGCTAACAAGAAAAACTCAATATATAACTATACACATTGTTGGTAATATTTCAATCACACAAAGTCCTTGGAAGAGATCTTCACATGCTTACCTCAACTGAGTATGGTCCATGTTATAATTGCTATCAGTCTGGCCTCTGACGTGGTCCAGACAGTGCATGGAATCAGACAAGCTAAAATTTCCCTTGAAGCTGGAGAAGACTATGAGAACTAGGCTTTGAGTTGAAGGGAAGAAGACTGCTAAGGCGAAAGAGTTATAGAAAGTTTCAGGTGAAAGGAAGGTTTAGCTGGCTGGGTAGGATGAGGGCTTGGAAGGGAAGGAAAAAGATTTAGGCAGCAGAGGGGGGAAGGATTGGGGATAGGGAAGAAGGTTTAGCTGGCTGGATGGGAGAGGGTCTTAGGAGGGAAGGAAGAAGGTTTAGGCAGCTGGGTGGGGGATGGCTTAGTGGGGAGGGAAGAGTTGGGTGGGGGGAGGATTTAGGGGGGTGGGAAGGTTTAGGTGGCTGGGTGAGGCAGGGCTTAGGGGGCTGAGCGGGGGTGGGTTTAGGTAGGTAGGCTGGGTTATGAAGGGTTTGGGGGTTGGACAGGGGAAGGATCAGCGAGCTGGGTTAGGGAAGGTTTAGGGGCCTGGGCTGGGGCAGATGTAGATTGTGGTGGGGAAGAGGTGGGGTAAGGCATAGGCAGGGGAAGGCAGAGAGGGATGGTAGATTCCAGCTGTCAAGAGTCAGAAGGACATAAAGCAAAAGGCGTGGAGGAATTGGAGGTCTTCTTTTTTGACTTTGTCCTCTTGCTTCTCTTGCTATTTTTGTTGTGACCCTCAGAGGTAAGGGAAACAGCATATATTTGACACAGGGAATGGAGTAAGGGGAGAGGGTCTGTACACTGGGAAGGGAGAGAGGGAAGGGATAGTCTACAGGGGAAGGAGGGGGTGAATAGGATAGGGAAGGAGAAGACGTCAATGAGGGGAAAGGTGGTTTAGGGAAGAGAGACATGAGAGTTTTGGGAGCAAGTGAGAGGGTGTTGGGATGAGGGAGGGAGAAGGTGTCATGTACAAGACAGGCCAATGCAGAGACCAGAAAGAGTGCAGGGATGATGGTAAATGGACTGTATTTATATAGCGCTTTTTCAACTAATTTGAGTACTCAAAGCGCTTTACAGGTTTATGCCTCACATCTACCAACCAGTGGCAGAGGCTGCAACGCAAGGTACCAACTGGCCACTGGGAGCAGTTTGGGGTTCAGTGTCTTGCTCAAGGACACTTTGACATTCTGCCAGGAGGAGCCAGATTTGAACCAGGGACCTTCCAATCTCCAGTTGACTGCTCTACCTCCTAAGCCACTGTCTGATGGAGAGATACAGTTTAGGGGACAGGGTGGGAAAGAGCATAGCAAAACAGTGCAAAGGACACATTGACAGATGGCCCAGCGTAAATGCAAGAGATGGACAGGTTGTAGAGGAAAAAGAAGGCGTATGAATGACAATGGAAAACATTGTAGGGGACATCTTGGGAAAGGGCTTAAGGTACACGCTGAGAACAGGTGCAGGGACCAGAAAGAGTGTATGGATGACAGGGATATGGTAGAGGGGACAGGGTGGGAGAGAGCGCAGGGGACACTGAGGAAGTGTGTAAGGTAAGGGAGGGAGGGGTGCATGTTTGGAAGAGGGAAAAAGAGGGTGTAGGGCACAGGGTGGCAAAGGATGTAGGGAACAGCAAACGAGAATTCTGCAAGAACCGGGAAGGTACAGGCTGTAGGAAGCTGGAACAAAAACAATGCAGTGTACAAGGACACGGCAGGGCAAGGACCAGGGAGGGAGGTGACTCAGGATTATAGGATTGAAATGGGCATCTATCCGTCAATAGCGTGCCTGGAGTCAGTTCAGATACTCTATGGGTTGCAGTCTTTCTGCTGGTGGGGCACAAGGACTAGGGAGGGAGATGGGAGGGAGGAAAAGGATGGAAATTGGCCATGGCTTTCCGTCGACGGTGTGCCTGTATTCATGTCAGGCACTGCTGGTGGTGGAGATCCTCTTTCCATTCAGGTCCTCTTTTCTCCTGTTGTCTTTTGTCTCCTACATTTCAGCTTCCATTTCCATTTCCTCTTGGTCTTTGGTTTTCTTTAACCTGCTCCTCTTGCTGTTGCTCCTGCAGTTTCAAGAACACACACATGCCTTCCTAAGTTCCGTCAGATCTAGTAGCTAATTAGTAAAAAGTCAGTCAGTGACACCAAGAAACTAAATGACTAAATATAAGCAAATAGTCCTTCAAATAGTAACAGTGGTCATCCAACAAATCATAACTTTACATTTTGTAGAACACCTTGACTTGTGCACCGTCACAAACCTTTCAGGGCAAATTAAACAGTAAAAGCGATTAAATATACTGACCAAAAGCACCGAAAATACAGTTGGAACTTAACACATGCGCCGTCACAACCGAAGTTTAAACTAATTTAAATTCGGGCAACTGGTCGATGGGCTCTACCTTGCTCTGTTTCTTTCATGACTGTTATGCAAACCAGAAATTGACGGCTAACGAATACACACGGCCTGGCTTGCCATAGGACAAAGTTTCATCAGTTTAAAGTTAGCAGACAAATATCGACATACACGATATTTATGCTGCCTAGCTATAACATTATCTTGTAATGTTCACGTTACCTTTCTCATTAAATTTTTTGATACGTCGCCATATTCTACGATGCATAGCGATTTCGGTTCAGACTTTTCACGAGAGAAAATTACAAAGGGGGCGACGCGAGCTAATTACATTGCCACTACATTTGATAGTCTCATCTTTGTGAGCAGTCTTCGTGGTTGTGTATTTTGAATTCGCAATACACAATTCATCCCATAATAATAATTTGGCATTAAAAAGAGACCGGGGGCTATGGTCCCCCCCGGGCACGCCTCTCCCCAAAACCACCTGATAATATAGCCAACCATCTAGCTTGCTAGTTAGCAAGTTAACTACATGTTGCCTTGCTAGCATTAGCAAGCTGGACTATCTTCTAATACATTCCAGAAGTGCCAAAAACTCCACGCAAACTAACGTCGTGTATAATCATCTGCAATCAACTAGGAATCAATCGACGAATCGATCAATCATCAATGAAATCATAATTTACCTCAATATTCCAATATACTTGGTAGTGATTTTTCCGTCCCCCAATGTATTGCATTGCGAGCAGGATATAACTTGTAGTTTTCCTATTATATGTAATGGTCATTATACAGGGGAGCTTTATCCCTTGCTCACTAGCTAAGTGAATCAAATAGCAACGTTTTGTTAAAAGTTTGTCCATGGCAACAAAATTCCAAATGTCCCGCGTATTACAATGAAGGGTGAACCCAATTATGTAATCTGACGTCATTAATACCAAGGTGGGTCAAGATTCGCATACAGGCTGCAGAAAGCAATGTTATCTCTTTCAGACGCAAGATGCACATTATAAACCGCTCTGCATAAGAGCGTCTGATAAGTGACCAAAATGTTAATGTAACGTTAATGTAACTATTTAGGTAACACGGTCAAAATGTGTAAGTGTGGAATATACAACTAACAAAACGAGATCACTAGCAACCCTGTCATATCAACTTCCTAGTTGACCTGACGCAGGCCCGGGTTTTTGGCAGGCACCTGACCTGACGGGCCTTTGGCAGAGGGTACAGACTGCTGCTTTGCTAACGAAGTTCAGTTGAAAAGGCGCTTACCAAAATGAGCGAGGATTTCCCGTTGATGTTAGCTGCATATCCAGTCACCATAAAGCGACCAACTACTGTATTCATTTTCTCACTCTGACACTTTTTTCATTACCTCTTTGTGCTTTGAAGTGAGTTGATGAGAACTGAAAGTCAGCATGGTTTAGCCTATCTTTTGGAAACACTGTTAAGATTCCGATCCCAATCTGTCTATCTGCCTTTGATTCTGGATGTGGATTCAGCAATGTTGATTATACAAGTAAAAGTCTTATGGTGGTACAGATAAAGTGTATTTATAAATAATAATGAAGTGAATATGCATGCATATAGAGGACAATGAGTGTGACAAATCAAATAATCAAACACCACCTGTTGAGCTAACTATCACACAAGTGGGTGGGCTTGTGTTATCACAGTATATGTATTCAGAGTGAGGTGAGCCCCATAAAATTTGGGTCAGTTTTGCAGTTTCCCTGATGGCTGATTAAAGTGAATGCTAGATGTTTGAATCTTTTGTGAAACATGGCCCATGTAAAAACTCAATGAAAGGTCCTTGGGGATTTACCCTGCAGGTCAATATTATGAACATTAGAGGGCAGTCTGAGACTGCCTTGGATAACAACCAAAAAGAAAAAGGGACTGCTCTTTACCTCTGCATTTGGTTATGGGGGTCAGTTGCCACCCTACCTCTTGTCTCCTTACCCCTCACATCGCTTTTTTGTCCCTGCTCTAATTTCAAAAGCAGTACTAGGTGCACCTTGTCTTCCTGTCCTACTTGACCTCTCCCTACCCAGCTGACCTGTATCTCCTGATACACAGTGCCAGCTGTTGGCATTATCACTCTTGGTATTCACATAAAAAATGAAATATTTTGCTTCCTAATGCAGCGCTATGACCATTTTCCCATATATGTTTGAAATTCTACTTGCTTGACCCAAAACCCAGGAAGAAGAGCTCAATAGCCTTGCCTCAAAAGTTGTCATTTTAGGTATTTTATATAACACCTAAAATCAAACTCTGTCTTACATGAAACTCCCACCTCTAAATAAGAAAATTCCTGTCAAATATGAGAGAAAGCTATAGATTGTAGCCTTCCTAATCACTAGTAATTTCTGAGAGCTTTCAGTAAAGCTTTAGACTTAAGGTGAAGTACTGAGACAGCTCCCATTAGGCTGTCAATGAAATACTCCCGTCTTCTAATCGTAATTGCTTTTCTTGTGCTTCTTGACCTGAGTGCTGCCTTCAACACAATAGATTGTTTTCAAAAGACTTCAAGCACTCTTGGTCTAAAGGGAAGTGCGTCATTGTACAACCTAAGACAATTAAAATTTGTCTGAAATCCCCCAATGTTGGATTCTAGGGCTGTTGCTCTTCTTGCTTTACTTGCTTGGAGATGTCACCTGTGAATGTGGAATAAACTTGCAATGTGTATACATAAATTTTAATTTCAATGCTGATGACACAGGGCTACATACTGTATATATATCAGTGACGCTTGCTGAAGATCTCCACATCTCCAGACGTGAAGCATGTCTTAAAGACAAAACTAGACGATATCAAACCTCCCACTTCCAAATACAGGAAAAAAAACAGTCCTGTCCCAAAAACACCATTGCTAATTTTGTGCTCTTACCTGGACTGTCACCTAGCTATGCTGAATGTTCATGTTAAATACCTTGGAATCACAATGGACCCTGATCTCTCTATTGAAACTCATAGAATAATATTTCAAGACTGGAATCTTTCTTTAATGTATTGCCAAAATAAAGCATTTGCTTTCTGTAAGAGATGCAGAAATAGTGCTGGGGGTCAACCCCAGCTGCAGGAAGCGAGACTGGCCTCTGAGGTTTCCGTGTGACCACTGGCAGGTGGGGACTGTCAGCCGGTCATGTGCCCTGCAATCAGGCTACAGCTGCCTGGTGCTGACAGGTAAACCAAGGCTTGACTTGTTAGTGTGAGTGAGGTCCATACAGCCATCCTATGTGTTTAAATATAGCAGAATAAAGTTCTTTTGCTCTAGCCCACTAGACTAAACAAAACTTGGGAACTGATGCACTGTCAGCATATGTCGCTGTAAATTATGTAATATCAGAACGTAATCATACTGGAATGCAGGCACAATGACCATGCCAGGGAAATACATTTAAAGTCACCTCCAGCAGTCGCTTCAAAATAAAGCACCAACCTTTAATCATTGTAGACAGTCTGTGTTTACATACATAGATTGTTTATTAAAATGATTGTAGATTGGTGTTTGTGACAAAACAAATGCACATTTATGAAGGCATTTCTGTTACCATTTTCCAGTATACCCACTTATTTAGCCTGCCAAAATATATTGACACATTTTCTGAAAAACACTGAAAAAGAGATTTGGAAAATATATGTATATTTCATTTCTGCATTTTATCTTCAATTAAAAACATAAATTAGGTGCAAAGTGCATTGAAAGGCAACAGACCTAGCCCAGAACAGAGCATGTGTTCCAAACAAACTAAGAAGGATGGAGCATTCTCAATTAATTCACCCTCCTTGGTAACTGTGACCTTCTAGATAGCACACAAAGTCGCTTGAGGAACACTGTGCAATGGCTGCAACCTTTAGACCTGAAACTGCACCCTTGACATTTGTCTGCTATAATCTC